TTGTCCTCCACTATCGAGATTAACTCCTATTTTCCCATATCGATGGAAACTCTCACCCGTTCCAAGATCTCCAGTATGTCTTGGTTTTCTTCAATGTCAAGTACTAGAAAGTCTATCAAAAATACCAATTTGTCAACTTTGATAAACATATTTTTCACTATATCTCACAATGCTTGACCAATCTCCAAGCAATAGCGATACCATGAATGGTTTCACCTTTCACTAATAGTTTCCTACGGACAAACATATGCATTAGATTCAATACTCACACTTAAATCACGTAAAGAATTAAATTAAAATATTTACTAACGTGCTTTTTTTTGTAGCAATTCGACCCTATGTCCAAACCGTTAGTTTAGGTATTGTCCGCTATGAGAGATTTTAAGCCTATATTTACTTGGTGTTATGACTCAACTTAAGTCATTTTTAAGGAAAATGTCAAGAGCTCGAATCCTGGGGACGTGATAAAAATTTGTGAAGAGTAATGTGGGGTTGACCTCTCTCAAATCAGACGGTATGTAAGTTAACGATTTGAACATATAGATCAGATCGTTACAATATAATTGCATAGAAAAAGTTTAAATTTGAAATTCTTTATCTAACTTAGCAGATTCCCATATGATATATTTGATATTGTCATATAATCATTTAATTCAACTCCAATTGACAAAAAAAAAAACAAAAAAGGTTCAACACCCGATATATCATAAGTAATGCTATAAAATTAATAAATCAATTTCAAAAGCTAAATAATTTGTCATAATAGTTTTTTTGATTTTTTTTCACGGGACCCATTGAACCACGGTCGAGTAATAGTACACAATCGTCTCACACAAACATTCCATACATGTGTTGCCATACCTACGATACAACTATATGAATGAATTCGCGTGTTTGAGCCATATTAATTTGGAAAAATATATTTTGGAATAGTAGATTGATTGAGAATGTGTGGTTGGAAATGAAGGGAAAGTTATTGATGTGATAGAAAATATTATTTTATTGAAGAATGTGTGGTTGAAAATGAGTAGAAAAATGAGAATGAAAAAAAGAATGTACTCCAAATAGGGGCTTAAAATGTTTTTCTCTCGTTCTCAAAGTTAATGTTTTTCTTACCTTTCTCAAACTTTTTCGTCTTCTAACATTTTGAACACAATACCATTATTATGTCTCGTATGAGCTCAATGGTAAAACTAGAAATGGATACTTGGGAACCATATGCAGGAATTAAACTTTAATGATCTTGGTGTGGCGATGAAACTGTGTGGTGGCTAAAAAATTAGATAAAAATTTAAATCAAAGTCAATAATTTATTTTAACGACATATTTTATGGAATTCACAACTTTTATCAATTGTTCAACAAAATATTTCATCAACTTTTATAAAAAAATTGATTTATAGCCATACCAAATAGGGGCTTAAATTTATTTTTATTTGCTATTTTATTTTTTCTATTCTTCCATTTCATTTATGTTATGTTCAAGGTGGACTTGCCTATTTTACAAGAACTTGACTACAACGATGAATGGAAATAGTCGAGAAGGACTAGAATAACACTATTCATCCCCATTGAGGTTCAACCATAATCTATGCGCTAATTACAAGACATTAAATGATAGTCTCAATTAAACGAGTCACATGCCTTTGTATTTAAATGAATATATCATTTAATACCATGTAATTGACATATAAACTGAAGTTGAACCACAGTGGAGATGAATAGCATTACTCAAAGGACTACATGCACAAATTAGTGAATGATTGGAGATGGGAGGGGAAATGAAAATTGATTGTGGATGAAATTGATGCAAAATGAAAAGGTTTGAGACCCAGAGTGAAATTTTACCCTTTCATTTTACAGGGGTACTTTTCAAAATGCCCAAGTCAAAGCACCCTTTTTCCATTTTGCCCAAAAATTTTAACCATTCCCCACAATAGCCTTCTAAGGCTGAAAAGACGAAATTACCCTTAAAATGTTATATAAATTACAAAAAATGGTATGGTTTCAA